TTTTGATACCCAATATTGGGCTCATTCTTCTTCTTATATTTTTTCCTATTCATTGTATTCATTGGACCAATGTATTTCGGTCAATAGCATAGGATTATATGAAGTATACATTAATAGGAGAAATAGGTTTCATTTAAGTATTATTTAGAAGTAATTTGAATTGAATTTGAGTCACATGGATGGCATGGGGTGGATCCGGCCATGTGAGCTTCAAATTCACTCCAAATCACTCCTAAATGATACCTAAATGAAGGTAGCAACCGGTTTAAGCTTGTAGGAAGCCAAAGTTTGAATTTCAAATTCAAATTTGAAATTCAAACTTGGCGCCAACTTTGCTAGCCTAAGTTGCCGCCAACTTTAACCTAGTCTCTCTCCTATATATGTAACACTTCCCTCCTTTGTAAGACACTTTTGAATATATGATAATCTGAATTTACTTCAGCCATTTCGAAAGTCACCGAAATCCCCAAGAGAGAGCTATAGAGAGTGCCTTCATAGTTTCTTAGGAAAACCCTAGTTTCCTTCACTTTGAAGTGTGCAATCCCTTGAGGCTTGAGCTTGGATACTTCCCTCTAAGGCTTTGGCCTTCAATCCGAGAGTTCTCCTTCTCCTAAGGTGTTGATACAATCGGTTTATCTCCATTGAAGTTGATCCGAGCTTAGAAGGAGCTTTGGAGGAGTTACAAATCTTCACTTCTCCTACTCTTTCTATCAATCGCGCTGGGCGTGCCCAATCACGCGCCAGGCGCGCTCCCGTCATGCGCTCAGTGCATACCATAGCGCGCTGGGGCGTCACTTAAAGAGTTGCGTGGCTTGATATAATTTCTGGCTGAGCGCGAAGGAAAAGGCATATGGAAGTAGAAGTTTTATCCAAGTTCCGCCACTGCCTTCAGCCCTTGAGAGCATCGTCCCCCCTCCCTCCTTTGATGATGGACTCCTCAAGATTTGTGACAAGATTGTCACTGCCAAAGAGGAGCTCTATGGCTTGCCTATAGTGGCATCTCTGTCATCAACAATGATGTCTTTGTGATGGATGCTAAGGTGAAGAGACAGGGTTCATATCTGAGGCAATGAAGGAGAAGGTACACGATGAAGATAGAGAAAGTGCAAGTCCTAAACCCTTAACATTTCTTCCTAATGAACGCTAACTTTGACAACAACAATAGACCCCGACTCCAGCGAGGAAGTTGCATGAACGAGTAAAAAATAAGCAATGGTCATTGGGGTTAAGTCTATATATGAAAAAATTATAAACTAATAGAAAGAACTTT